GTAGTATATGCGTCGTGGCGGGCGCTTTCTGGCCACACCGCTCGAGAAACGATATACTACAAGATGGGTATACTATATGTTCGGGTCGGACGCGCGCCTCCAAGGCGGACATATAGTATTAGTATGTCTCTGTGCGTCCCATAATTGGGAGGGGGAGGGGGAGGGGGAGGGGGGAGGGGAGGGGGAGGGGGAGGGGGAGGGGAGGGGCAGGGGCAGGGGCAGGGGCAGGGGCAGGGGGGCAGGGGAAGGGGAGGGGGAGGGGGAGAAGGAGGAGGAGGAGGAGGAGGAGGAGGAGGAGGAGGAGGAGGAGGCGGAGCTCGGGCGTGTTTCATTTTCCAACGCTCCTGCGTTGGGTTCTCGTTTGAATAGGGCTAGGGGAACGAACAATGACAACCATAACAGCTCGGAGATCCGCGCGGACCTCCGAGTTTCTGCGCTTCTGCCATGTTCCGTTCCCCGATTGGCATCGCTCGGGCGTGTTTCGTTCCCAACATTCCTGCGTTGGGTTCTCGTTCTGCTTGGAGCGCTGCGGTCGCACACCTTCTCCTCCCGCCTCACCTTTTTTCTCATCCCCCCTGCTTGCCTTCGGCCCTGCCGCCTATCTCGTCGTCCTGCCTGGATGCTCGGTTTGGAGCCGGGATCTGCAAAACCGTCGCCACGTTCGTGGGCTGCCGGGGGGTCCAGCGAAGTGAGATTCAGATTAGACCTCGCCGTCCCTGGGATCTGCGAAGCCGTCGCCTTTTTTGAGGCCTGCTGGGGGTCTCAGCTCCCGCACTGAAAAGTGCAGGAAGGAAGCAGGGAAGCTGGCCTGCGAGCTGGGCCTCGCTCGCTTCTTGCACTAGCTGCAAACAGGTTTAATCATTTAGTCGAGCGCCGCGGCGACATGGCGCAGGCAGCGCTGCATCTTGGGCGTACTACCGACAAAAGCAATACTCTTCGGTCTCCTCCCGTCTCCCGTCACTTTCGTCGTCGTCGTCTTTTTCCCCTCCCATTTTCTCGCTGCTGCTGCTGCCGCGCTGACGGGTCGGCCCCCCGCGCGTCCTTTTCCTGCCTTTTGTTCCCGCCCCCACGTCCTCCTGAAGCCTGGGCCCTCGCTCCTCGTCCTTCTGGTGTTGTCCTGCGAATCGTGCCACGCGAGCGCATCCCATGCAACTTTCACAACATAACGGCGCCTGCACTGTCATTGTCCTGGTCAGGTTGGGCCGGGTAATTTTTCGGCGAGGACCCTCGAGGAGCCGTTCCCAGAACACCTCGAGCAACGAAAAAAATTGCGACAGGAGGTCGTTCGCCATTTTCGACATTTGGGGGCCCTTGCGGGGCCTCGGGAACGTCAAACAACGACTCGGAACGGAAATTGGTCCCGGGGAGTGGGTCGAGACCTCGGGGGGTCGACTTAAATCGGGGGGCCCCAAACGGGGTGGTAACCACACCGTGCGGTGAGTCGGTGGGGATTCGGGGTCACCGCACGGTTTTGGGACTCGGGTCGTTCTCCGGGAACGTCTCGGGCGACTGGGGCCTCCGAGGTCCCACAACCGTGCGTTGACGGACCGTGCGGTGAGGTCTTGGCAGATTTCGAGGTCACCGCACGGTCTGTCACCGCACCGTTTCGGGACTCCAAACTAAAAAATCATGACGTCGGGGGTCTGGGCTCGGATACTCTTGCGAGAACACGCACGCACGCAACCGAATCACGCACGGGATAATGGACGCCCGACCGATGGCGCGGCCAGCCCTCGCCCGCGGGCGGGCCTCTTCGGCCCGAGGCTCGAGGCTCCCGCCGGGAGCGGCCCTTGGCGACCGGCTTTCAAGGGGGGGGGGCGCGCGGCGGGAGGGGAGTCTAGGGCTCGTTTCGATTCTTCCGATTCGATTCGATTCGATTGCGATGGCCTTCGATTCCGATTCGATTCGACTGCGGATGCCAATTCGGGATCCGATTCCACGACAGAGGCCCACTAGCCACGAGCCTGCCGATGCCTGCCCGTTCGACTTCTCCTGACCCGGCCGCCGATCTCAGTCGCTCCGATTCGTGACGATCGCCGATCCGACTCGTCGATTCGATTTTGGGCCCTCCTGGGAGGAGGAGGAGGAGGAGGAGGAGGAGGAGGAGAAGCGGAGGAGGAGGAGGAGGAGGAGTAGGAGGAGGAAGAGGGAGAGGAGGAGGAGGAGGAGGAGGAGGAGGAGGAGGAGGAGCAGGAGGAGGAGGAGGAGGAGGGGAGGAGGAGGGGGAGGAGGAGGAGCAGGAGGAGGAGGAGGAGGAGGCGGCGGAGAGAGGAGGAGGAGGAGGAGGAGTAGGAGGAGGAAGAGGGAGAGGAGGAGGAGGAGAGGAGGAGGAGGAGGAGGAGGAGGAGAGGAGGAGGAGGAGGAGGAGGAGGAGGAGAGGGAGGAGAAGGAAGAGGAGGAGGCAGGGAGGGAGGGATGGTGGGAGGGAGGGAGGCAGGAGGAGGAGGAGGAGGAGGAGGAGGAGGAGGGGGAAGGAGGACGAAGGAGAAGGAAGAGAAGTTCGGGACGCACGGAGCGCTGGACAAGCGGGTGCCAGGAGCTGGGCGAGGTAACGAGGACTTGCCTGACCTTCCCCATGCCCCTTCTCCTCTTTTTCTCGCTTTGGCGTAGGCTGGCTGAGCTTGCTCGACCTGCACATTCTGCGTGGACCCGTGGACGAGGGAGAAGGAGGAGGAGAAGGAGGAGGAGGACCAGCGTAAACCCAAGGCGCGCCAGCGAGCTTGCAATGAGCCGTCCCACCACCAAGTTCCCTCATCACAGGTCCCTGCAATAATTTGTTTTCACAGCGGGAAGTGTCTCATGGGAATACAACCGTCTGATAATCCTCCATCGTGCCAAATTCCTGTTCATGTGATTTCAATGCCGCGAATCAGCGTGATTGCTGCGTCCTGACGATCCTGCATCGTGCCAGAACATCATTAGCGGGACGTCAACATCGCGAATCAACTTGACTGCTGCGCCCTGAAAATCCTACAATGTGCCGGAACACTTTTCCTAGGAAGTCATCAATCACTATATTTGATATTGTTGCGGGCTTCCTAGCGAGTGTGCGCGGCGATCAGGCGGGAGCCATTTTGTGAAAAGGAACCGCCCTCCATCCGTGAAGTTCTTGCACACCTTTGAAATGCCAGGGCGAGAACCACATTTTGAAAGCCACCCGTCCTCCACCCGTGAAACTCTGGCATAATCTTGACGCTTCGGATATCCCCACCAGCCCATCCAGAAACAAATCGCCAGGCGAGTTGCCCTGATCAGGGAAGTGTAGAGTCATGCAGTATAACAACCGCATTGGAAGTGTTTTCTCGGAGGTCTCTTGGAGTTATCTTGGGTCTTTCTTGGGGTCCTCCAGGAGCCACGGCACTCTTGGGGCTTTTTGTTGGGGGTCTAACTGGGGGCAGACATGGGGCTCTTTGGGGGGGTCTGGGAGGCCTCTTGAGGAAGGTTTGGGCACACAGTTCAAACAAAAGGGGGTGGTCATCGATCCGGGCCGCCCCTTCAGATGCTCAAACGTGGCGTCCGCCCTCCAGCCGTGAAGCTCTTGCGACCGTGTCGGGCGGAGGTGCACGGCTCTGATGCGAGAGTCGCATCTTGAGCGCGGCCCGCCTTCCGGCTGCAGAACTCCGTATACAGGCTTTAGGACGCACGCGCGCGGCGCGGAGGCGAGAACCACCTGCTGTAAGCAGTCCGCCTTCCAATCGTGAAGCTCATGCATAGATGGAAGACGCGTGCGCGCTGCGCGAAGGCGAAAGCCACAGTTTGTAAAACAACCCGTCCAGGAGGAGGAGGAGAAGGAGGAGGAGGAGGAGGAGGAGCAGGAGGAGGAGGAGGAGCAGGAGGAACAGGAGGAGCAGGAGGAGGAGGAGGAGGAGGAGGAGGAGGAGGAGGCGGAGGGGAGGAGGAGGGAGGAGGAGGAGGGAGGCAGAGGGCCCCCAGGGGCGCGAAGATAGCCTCGCGCCCCGGGCTCCGCGGTGCGGCCCCACGGGGGCGCCCTTTCCCCACCGGGGGGGAGGCGCGGGGGCGCGCAGATGGCCTCGCGCCGCACGCCGCGCAGTTGGGCGGCTGAGCTTCCCAGACCTCCCCTCCTCCTCCTCCTCCTCCTCCTCCTCCTCCTCCTCCTCCTCCTCCTCCTCGACGTCACGATCTCTGTTCGCGGCCCCTGCCCCCCGAGGGCCTCGACCCCACCCCTCGGGGCGCGCCCGATGCCGAGCAGAGCTCTGCGGGCGCCCCCCCCCCCCCCCCCGGGGCCCAGCGAGGGCGGCCCGCGGGAGCCGACGGCGGGAGAGCAGAATCAGCAACAGGCGATCAAGAGCGCGTGCGTCGCGCTTCTGTTCGAGGCGCTAGGACGAGGAGGACGAGGAGGAGCAGGGGGAGGAGGAGGTGGAGGAGGAGGAGGAAGGAAGGAAGGAGGGGAAGGAGGGGGAGGAGGGGGAGGGGGAGGGGAAGGGGGGGGGAGGGGGGGGAGGGGGGGGGAGGGGAGGGGGAGAGGGGAGGGGGAGGACAAGCTAGGTGCGCTCGCGTCATATCTGACATCCTACCCCTCCCTCCCATCCCTTACCATGGCGTAGATCCCCTCTCTACTCGCACAGTCGGATGTCGAGCAGGGCAATGATCCCGAAAGGGTACGCGATGCATTGTAGAGCACGGCATGGCATGGCGTAGAAGAGCACCGCAAAGCGTAGTATCAACCTAGCATTGCATTGCATGCCGCGGCATGGCACGGGAAATGACGCCAGCGCTGCAGCGGGAGCACGAGTCGGAACGAGCGGAAGCGCGGAAATGAGGCCAGCGTTGCAGCGGGAGCACGATTCGCAACGAGCGGAAGCACGGAAATGAGGCCAGCGCTGCAGCGGGAGGAGGAGGAGAAGGAGGAGGAGGAGGAGGAGGAGGAGGTGGAGGAGGTGGAGGAGGAGGAGGAGGAGGAGGGGGAGGAGGAGGAGGAATGGTGGAGGAGGAGGAGGAGGAGGAGGAGGAGGAGGGAGGAGGAGGGGGTACGGGCATAGCCGAGACATCTTCTGGCGGTGCCCGCGAGGGATTGCAGGAGGAGTTCCTCGTCGAGAGCCTCCTGTGTGCCCCCGTGCTGGTCGACGTCTTCACGATCCCTGGCCTCGTGCTGCAGAGCTCGTGGCTGTCGCTCGGCTTCCTGCGCATCCTCTCGGCGATCGTGGCTTACGAGCGGTGGCGGAGGATGGCGAACGTGAACCTCAGCGTGCAGACGATCGAGAGCAAGGTGCCCTCGCCGCCAAGATACGTGTCCACATCCACAGCGCTGGGGCCGTGGTTGGGCGCCTCGGGCAGCAGGGAGGGGGGGACGCATCGGGCATCGGCCCCCAAACGCTCATTGGCCGCCGATGCGGCCAATAACTACCCTGCTTGCCACCAGGGTGACCTGGGTTTCTTGGGTTCCGATGGTCTTGCTGTGGACTGCGAGTCACGCTCACCAAAAATCCATGGACGTCCTGGGGTCTCAGGGTTGGGTTTCCTGTGGAGGTTTTTTGTGGAAAGGTCCCCACTGCAGCTCAACCCCACCAAGAAACGGCCAGTTTCGCCATCGGGAGCCTATCGCCGATCCATCGTCGATGGGTCGCCGATTCCATTTTTAGGTCGGGAATGTCCATTGTTTGACTACCTTTGAATAGTCCTGCCCGACTTAGCTCCATGTCAATGTTGTCCCCCCCCGAGCCCGTCACCCTTTGTCGTTGCCCCTAGTGGGTATGGACATCTGCCCGCCCTGGAGGGCGGCCGATGTTTTTCCACCTCCTCGTCCTCCTCCTCCTCCTCCTCCTCCTCCTCCTCCTCCTCCTCCTCCTCTTCCCCCCTCCTCCTCCTCCTCCTTCTCCTCTTCGTGGTCCCAGGCCACGGCTCCGCAGCGGTGGATGTGGGCACATTTTGGCGGTGTCAGGCGGTTGTCCACAAGCTCACGTCCATGGTGCTACGACTGACGGGGCTTATATACAGTTTCGCAGGCATCAGCGGACTCCAGAACTGCACATCACAAGTTATTCCACCAGCGGGGATGCGTGTTTCAGAGCGGCTGGAAAGTTTATACCCCCACGTGCCGACGAAGGGTATAAGCGTTCAGCCGGCCTGGGACAGGCGTCCCCGACAATAGAAGTTAAGCAATCATACAGTTGCTCGCCCGCTTAAGGCATCACCTTCGTGCTCGAGACGTTGGGGGAGCTGCCTTTCCAGCTTTCTGCCGAAGTCGAGACCGACATGGGCAAGCTGACAATGTTCAGGATGGTGTATTGGGTCGTGGAGACCCTGACGACTGTCGGGTACGGTGACTTCACGCCGACAACGTTGCTCAGCAGAGTATCGACCATGCTGTGCATGATAGCCGGCACCGGGGGCCACTACGCCAACCTGGTTAAATCTAGGTCGCCCGCAGGGGCGCGAAGATAATCGCTGTTTGCGCGTCGCGGTCTGGATTGGAGAGCTGCCCTTCTCCAGGGGGGGGGGAAGGGGGGGGCAGTGCGAGGTCGTGAGGGCGCGAAGGTAACCGCGCGTCGCGAATCGCGGGGGCGCGATGCGCGAAGTTGGGCGACATAGAAGAGCATCACAGCTCTTCCCTCGCATGGAGGAGGAGGAGGAGAAGGAGGTGGAGGAGGAGGAGAAGGAGGAGGAGGAGGAATGATCAGCAAGAGGAGTTAGGAAGGAACAGCAGGCAGGGCAGAGAGAGGAGGAGGAAGGTGGAGGAGGAGCAGGAGCAGGAGCAGGAGCAGGAACAGGAAGAGGAGGAGGAGGAGGAGGCGGAGGACGAGGAGGAGGAGGAGGAGGCAGAGGAGGAGGAGGAGGCAGAGGAGGAGGAGGAGGAGGAGGCAGAGGAGGAGGAGGAGGCAGAGGAGGAGGAGGAGGGAGCGAGGAGGAGGAGGAAGAGGAGGAAGAGGACGAGGAGAAGGATGAGGGATAGGGAGGAGGAGGAGAAGGTGGAGGAGGAGGAGGAGGTGGAATCTTATGCTGGATAAGGAGGAGGGGATGATGACGATGATGATGATGAGGATGATGATGATGATGATGATGATGCTGAAGATGATGATGATGATGATGATGATGATGATGATGATGATGATGATGATGATGATGATGATGATGATGATGATGATGATGATGATGATGATGATGGTGATGGTGATGATCGTGATGGTGATGGTGACGATGATGATGGTGATGCTGATGCTGCTGATGCTGATGATGCTGATGATGATGCTGATGATGATGCTGATGATAGTGGTAGTGGTGGTGGTGCTGGTGATTATGGTTGTGGTGGTGGTGGTGATGGTGATGGTCATGGTGATGATTATGATGCTGATGATGACGACGATCATGATGAGGATGATGCTGCTGATAGTGATGATGCTGCTGCTGCTGATGATGATGATGATGGTAATGGTGTTGAAGATAATGGTGATGCTGACGATAATGGTGATGGTGATTGTGATGGTCATGTTGATGCTGGTGGTGATGATGCTTTATGCTGCTAATGATGATGGTGATGCTGATGAGGGGGATGATGCTGATGACCATGATGCTGATGCTGATGCAGATGCAGATGATGATGCTGATAATGATGCTGATGCTGCTGATGATGACAATGATCCTGATGATGACGCTGAAGATGCTGATCATGATCATGCTGATGATAGCAATGATGGTGACGGTGATGGTGGTGATGATGATGAGGAGAATTATGGTGATGAGGACGATGGTGATGGTGATGATGATGATGTTGATGGTGAGGGTGATGGTGATTACTATGATGGTGATGATGCGATGATGTGATGATGTTGGTGGTGGTGATGATGATGCGTATCATTATGTTGAGTCTGATGATGCTAATGAGGATGATGATGAGGATGCTGATGATGATAATGATGCTGCTGATGATGATGATGATGCTGATGCTGATGCTGCTGATGATGATGCTGATGATGATGATGGTGATGGTGATGGTGATGGTGATGATGATGATGATGATGATGATGATGATGATGATGATGATGATGATGGTGATGATGATGATGATGATGGGTGGTGGTGGTGGTGGTGGTGGTGGTGACGGGTAAGAGGAGGATGAGGAGGAGTAGGAGGAGTGGGAGGAGGAGGATATGTATGAAGAGGGGAGGCGAAAGGGGGAGGGGGGGAGACGGGACGAGGAGGCGAAGGGGGAGGAGGATGGTTCTGAGGGGTGCAGGGAGGAGGAGGAGGAGGAGGAGGAGGAGGAGGAGGAGGAGGAGGAGGAGAGGGAGGAGGAGGAGGAGGAGGAGGAGGAGGAGGAGGAGGAGGAGGAGGAGGGGCATTAATTGCAGGAGGATGGGGAGACGGGAGATGAGGAGTAAAGAGGGACAGGTTGGAGGGAGGATGTGGAGGAGGATGCAGGAGGAGGGAGAAGAGGAGTGGGTAGCGGGGGGGTCTGTAAATAATGGCATGGTCTTCGAGGCATCCTCTTCTTCACGGTGCAGGTGACGCAGCTCCAGGAGGCGAAGGGGAGCCAGTAGTTCGGGGTGTACCAGCGCGATGTGGAGAAGGAGGATGAGGAGGAGGTGGAGTAGTAAAAGGAGGATGGGGAGGAGGATGAGGAGAAAAAGGAAGAGGAGGATGCCCCAGGAGGAAGAAGATGAGTCACGAGGCTGTGGGTAGCCAGAAGTACGGGGCGGGCCGGTACGAGAAGAATGGTTTTTACCACTCGCATGTCGTTCTTTTTGGCGGCTGCGTGAATATGATGGACGTGGACCTGATGGGAGGGTTTCTTGACGAGCTGTTCTCCAAGAATTCCCATCCCTGGCCTGACCTTGTCATTCTGGGCCCGGACAGGGACAAGATGATCCTCCGGGCTGGCGCCACAGGCCGACGGGTACGTCGTGTATGAGGAGGTGGGTGGGGGGAAGACGAGGAGGAACAGGAAGTGGCAGGGCTCGACCTGAACGGTGTTTTGGCGATTTCGTGGACCGTATTCGCTTTGGCTTCGTTTTGCAGCGAAGGCGGAACGATGACAAAACGAAGGAAAACGAGAGCAGCACGAAAAAAACACTGTTTGGTCGAGCCCTTGGAGGTGGAGCACGAGGGCGAGGAGGAACGTGTCATTGATGTTGGTTGGCGTTTGCTCGTGCGCAGTTCGTCCGCGTCTGTGCGGCTGGTGTTGCCTAAATGTGTGAGTGGCAGCTTGACGGTCGGCAACACGTGGTGGTGCCAACATCCTTTGGGTGTGATGCGCTTGCTTACACTCGGCCACACGCAGAGGGGGCTACGGGGAGGAAGGAAGGCTTCTCAGAGTCACCCCTGCTTCTTAGAAGGCGCGGGCCTCGTCTATAGATGTAAGGCCCGCGCCTTCTAAGAAGCAGGGGGGCCTCTGAGAAGCCTTCCCCACTCCCCCATACCCCCGCCGCCAGTACACAGGCGACGCGCGAGCGCAGGAATTCGCGCGCCTGAGAGGCCGCCGTGTGAGGCCGGCGGTTTCAGCTCGAGGAGAGCGTCCGAGACTATTTCAAGTCTCGCCTGTCGTCGAACTCCCCGCTGGATGGTATCCAGCTGCCTGCGGCAAACCCCGCGGCCGCACCAGGGCTGAATGCATGTTGCCAAATCATTTCCAGATGTCTGAATCATGCGTTAAACATGTTTCAAACATGTAGAAAACATGTTCAAGACATGTTTAGAACACTTTTCCGACATTCAAAACACATCTTTCATTCAATGATAGGATTGTTAGAGTGTCCATTGTCATGGCATCCACAACACCAGGGCAGCAGCGCAAGGTGAAGGAGGATCAGCAGAAGTTGCACAGCGGAGCTTCTCTGGGACCTCGTGAGCTCTCAAGGGCCTCTCGGGCGCCTCTGTGGTCCCAGCAAAAGAGCAGAAAAGGCCTTACCAGACAGCAGAGGAGCATCCTGACACGCCCCCGCGTACACAGGGCACGGTGGCGGATTACCTTTCTGGTCGGCTCTCCCCTTCGCGTGGAAGACCTCGAGAGGTCCCAGTGCGGCGACGCGCGCATGGTGTACATCCT